TTCACAGGGTCTATTTTGAGGGCCCCAGAGACACAGCTGCCCTATGTATACAGTTTCAAGATACACTGTGTCCTTTTTTGGGGGGGGGGTCTGCATCAAACTTCAGACCACATGTGGAGATCATACCTTGCCAAGTTTCAAGATCTCAGGGCCTGGGGTTTTCTGAGCCCTTATGTGGGGCTCCTTGGGATTGAAGGACATGTACCTCAGTGCTGACTTGTGAGAAGGAGTCGCTCCACACACTTCCATACCCAGGTATCAGGATGGGAGTTAGGGGATGAGAACTGTTATGAGGGGCTCCTTGGGATTGAAGGACATGTACCTCAGTGCTGACTTGTGAGAAGGAGTCGCTCCACACACTTCCATACCCAGGTATCAGGATGGGAGTTAGGGGATGAGAACTGTTATGAGGGGCTCCTTGGGATTGAAGGACATGTACCTCAGTGCTGACTTGTGAGAAGGAGTCGCTCCACACACTTCCATATCCAGGTATCAGGATGGGAGGTAGGGGATGAGAACCATTTTGTCAGGTTCCCTGAGTTTAAATTATGCCTCATTGCTGACTTGTGGGGAAGAAAATTCCTCAGCCTTCTCTATCTCGGGACTTAGAGGTGCCATTTTGGGAGCTTTCTGGAAGGAAGGCTGTATTGCCGAACTAGCACATTTGAGCTGAGTGCTTAGGGTGGGTAGAAAGGACCCTTTTAGAATCTATGGAACACACATTATGAAGCTCAATGTCTTTCATTAGCGTGGCACCAAGTGAAGCCCACTTGGATCTTCCCATAAAGAAGCCTACTCTTGTCTGGAGTAGAGTTCTGATTGGAACAGAGGGAGAGTGGCCTGGGTAAGCCTACTCTGAGTACTCAGAGCCCCAGCTGCACCCTGTGATGAGCTCCGTTTGAAACAGTCTTCCAGTTGTATTATTCAGCCCTTTGTTCATTTGTCACTGTGGCCAATATGGAGGAGTGATGTTTACAGGTCTTTATCATAGTGGGCAACTTCCCTTTCAAGGTGTATTTGGAAGCTGTGAGTGAAATGGGTAACCTTCAGTTCATCCAGAGGAGTACTCAAATGATAATTCTACCACTGGGGTTTGTAGAAGAAATGACACCAATCCTCACATGACTTGCCACCTAGTAGTCATTTAGGTGTTTCAGATAGAGGAAGATCAGTTGTGTCTTTCAGTCACTGTGAGAGTTAGGCATGGAGTTGCAGAAGCCCCACCCTAGATAGAAAGCACCACATTCTTTATATAGTTCTGAACTGAAGAAGTAAGTTCCTTCTCCTTTAGCATCCACATCCAGGAAACTGGGGTGCTTAGAGTCATTTTGTGAGGTCCTGGATCTTTGGTTCAGGTGATGACTTGCAAAAATAAGTCATACTGTACCCTTCCGTGTCCACATCTGTGGCTGTGGCTATTTAGACCCTTTTTGCAAGGTTTCTGGAGGAGAGATAGCCATGAAAGGAGTTTTGTGCTTTTTAAGAGATTTGAATGGATTACAGTGTTCACTTTCTGGTTACAGAATCTCCACATAATGCAATTTAACCCCTTTGGTTGGTACAGCACCAGATAGGCACTGAGAATGAGGCCCTTTCCACCTTTCTACTTTCACATTTGTGGACTGCAGCACTTAAAGATATTTGTATGTTACCTGGAGAGGAATTAACCATTACACTGGTTGAAGGTGGTTTGTGGAGACATTTTCTGGATAGAGGGCCCTCAGTTAATGCAGCCTGGCACCCAATGAGGGTCACTCGTAAGAATGAGCCCCTTGTACTTCCCTGACGTCATAGATAGTCTTCCACACTCCCTCTAACTCTGAGCAAAATAACCAGATGGAGTGCATCTTTGCATCAACCTGTTGGGAATAAGGGAGGATCAGGCCTTGTTCTGGCATTAAGGCCTCCAATCTGTAATGGTAAGGTGCAGAGTCATTGAAGGAGCAAGGATACCCCAAATACTATACATATAAAAGCTGCTTCTGTTGTCAGTTCAGACCAGAAGACTATGGATTATATTCAAACATGAGGAGGGGACCAGAGATGGTCTGGCCCTGAATGATGGATCTGAGGGCCAGCAGGAGTCATGTGAGAAGTAAATAGGAAATCCTTCAGAATCCCCAAAACAAGAGTGGACCTATGCTCTTTCTGCCAGTCTTGAGAAACATCCCCAGGGGTACCAGATGGGCTCCTTTATTCTAATTTCTGTGTCTTTGATGAAGGTGAGACTGAGTGAGGGGCATCACTAGAGAAGTGGAGAGAGCCACACTTGGTTACCAGGGTGGGTGTCTAGCATCTGCCAGCAATCAAGGTGAGCAGCCATGGTAAGAACTGAACATGTGAAGGTACTCATTGCCCCCCAAACAAATTCTGCCCTTCTTCTGATGTCAGGCAAGCCCTGAAAGTATAGTTGTTATGACTGGCTCTCCTTTCTGCTCCAAGACTGGGTATAGGAGGTCTCAGGGATGTGACAAACCTGGTAGTAAGGTCTTCAGATGGTGAGTAAAGGTAAGAGTCCCAGAAGGAGCCAGATCCCAGACATGGGCCTCTCATGATAACTGCAGAAATAAGGACTGTGCTGTCTGGCTGTGCCTGGGACCAGCCCTCAGGGAAACTTTGGTGTCTTTAGGAAGATGAGTTCTAGTGTAAACGGAGCAATTCACTAAAGCAGCACAGCAGAGATTAGTCTGGGCCATGTAGGCTTCTCTGGGAATCCCACTCAGTGTAGAAGCAATGTGGCACTGAAAGACCCCTGGAGGCTCAGGCCCCCAGGATCTCTACCCAGGACCTCGGCCAGCCCAATCACCAGGCAGAGGCGAAAACTTGATACAAACAGCCCAAGATTTTATTGCAGTTGTTTAATGAACTAACCCCATGTTATCTCTAGCCTTTCGTCTATCCACCATGGTGGATGGCTAGGAAACCAGAGCATAGAGATCTTATAGGGCAGCATAAGGTGAGTTTCTAGGGGTACACACAGGATCAGGATTGGTGTGCCTCCAGGCTTATGCTGTGTTGATTGGTCAACTAGTTGTTATGGCCCATAGGTCCTCCCAGGGGATTGCTATGTTCTTTGAGTCATTGCTGTGCACTTGTCCGTAAAGCACACCCAGAGCCGTAAAGCATAGCACCACCAGCTAACTTCTGATTGGTTCCTTGCCACGAGGCAGGCATCTGACCTCCTAGTGACCAAGGCAAGGTCAGGCAAGCATGTGCTAGACTGTTAATGGCTGCTGAAATGGGGAGCTGGTCCCTTCAGCACCTGCTCACATCTCCAGATTGTTTTCAGTGTCTCTTGGAGTAGAGGAACTTAATCTGAGTATATGACCTTGGTTATTTGCAGGGGTTCCATGATCTATCATCAGACTAGATGGGACCCCAAGGGATGGGTAAAAGTAACCCCCTTGTTCAGAGCTCACTCTGAGACCCACAGAAACCTATATCCTGTCACCTCCATATTCTTGGGCAAGATTTTCAGTCTTATCCCCTTGTCTTGTTTCTAGGACATTGGTCTCAGGGACCTGAAGACCCTTGTCAAAGGAACAGTGATCCAGGTCATCAGAGGGAGGATCTCAGGAGTGCCAGGACTCAAAGTAAGAACTGAGTGAGTCAAATCACCTATAGACATGGGACCTAGCCTGTCAGCTGGGAAGAACCCTAGGAATTACAGATGTATTCCCTCCTCTCCTATTTCCCCTATCTCATTGAAATGGGGTTTTGGCTTAAGGCAGGTGGCCTCAGGCCATCAGAGAAAGCAGAGCCATCAAGGTGAGGGTTAAGCAGGTCTTTTATCCCTGACCATGGACCACATTTAAGTTGGACACCTTATGCCATCACCCCTAAATAGTTGTTATCAGTTGAAGGCACCTTCACTGTCTTCTGTTCTATTTCAGAGAGGTGAGCAGTTGTCCCAGGAGTTTGCCTCAGACTAGCAGATGGGTGGGGTCCAGGAGTTTGCCCTAGACCAACAGAAGGGTGGGTGGAGTCCAGGAGTTTTCCCCAGCCTAACAGATGAGAAGGGTCCAGGAGTTTGCCTCAGGCCAGCAGATGGGTGGGGTCCAGGAGTTTACACCTTGCCACAGAAGAGAAGGGCCCACGGATTTGCCTCAGGCCATCAGATGGGTGGGACCCAGGAGTTTGCCTCAGGCTGGCAGGTGAGAAGGGTCCAGGAGTTTGCCTCAGGCCAGCAGATTAGTGGGGTCCAGGAGTTTACACCTGGTCAACAGATGAGAAGGCCCAGGGGTTTGCCTCAGGCCAGCAGATGGGTGGAGTCCAGGAGTTTGCCTCAGGCTAGCAGATGAGAAGGGTCCAGGAGTTTGCCTCAGGCCAGCAGATTAGTGGGGTCCAGGAGTTTACACCTGGTCAACAGATGAAAAGGGCCTAGGGGTTTGCCTCAGACCAGCAGATGGGTGGGTTCCAGTCCCTGACAGGAGACAAGGGAGAATCCAGAGTGAGCACAGAGAGAACCATACACTTAAGAGCGGGGTAGCTCTTTACAGTTCAGTTCAGGCTCCTGTCAGGAATGGGGATCCAGTACGGGCTTTGCAGTCTATGGCTGTGTGGCACCTCATCCTCTCTCATAGAAACTGGGATATGAGGGTCTTGGTTTGAGATGGTTTTCTGGGATCAGACACTGGGGAAGGCCCAGGCAGGGTCTGGGGCAAAGCTGAGGCACACACTGTGAATATGTACCACAAACACAGCAGTCTCAGTCTGCTTAGCCCCATACAAGCTTCTGGCAAATCTGAAGCCTCTACTCTGGCCCAGTTGCATTCTGAGGAAACTTGTCGCTATCCCCCTCAGTCTCTCAAGAGACAGATTTGACAGGGAGATGGGAATCCTTGTGATTTTAGAGCATCACACAAGAGAAAGCCTGTTACTGGCTTTTGTGAGCACTTCCAGTTGGGTGACTGGCAACAACTTCCACTTTCTTCTTCTTCCCCTAGGTCTCTGGGTCTACATCATTGTGCATCTGCCTTGTGTTCAAGACTAGAGTCATCATGCCTAGACCTTGCAAGCGTAGGCGATGTATGGCTGAGGGCGAGCTTGAGGCCCAAAGTGAGCCACAGGACCTAATGAGTGCTCCAGTTTCAATAGAGGAAGTAGATTCCTCATCCTCTTCTACTTGCTCCTCCTCTTTCCCCTCGTCTTTCTCTTCTTCCTCTTCTTCCTATGCTCTAACATCCAGCACCTCAGAGGAAGGGTTTGTTGCTTCCAGGACATCAAGTCCTTCTCATAGTCCTCCAGGAGCATGCTCCTCCTGCACTGCCATGATCTCCTCTCCATGTAGCCAATTCAGTGCAGCCTCTGAACCTGAGGAGGGTTCAGGTTCCTCAGAGGTCATGCCTTGTGCTGCTTCATTGTCTAAAGGTGAGATAGATGTAAAAGTAGATGAGTTGGTAAAGTATCTGCTCTTTAAGTATCTAATGAAGGAGCCAGTCACCAAGGCAGAAATGCTCAGTAATATCATTAGAAATTATCAGGACCACTTCCCCTTGATATTTAGAGAAGCCTCAGAGTGCATGCAGTTAGTCTTTGGCATTGACATGAAGGAAGTACAGCCTGCTGGCCACACTTATATCCTTGTTACATCCCTAGAGCTCACCTATGATGGGATGATGACTGATGTCCAGGGCATACCCAAGACAGGCCTCCTGATAATGGTCCTGAGCATAATATTTATGGAAGGCAACTGTATCAGTGAGGACATGGTGTGGGGTGTGTTGAATAACATAGGCTTGTATGCTGGGAATGAACACTTCATATATGGGGAACCCAGGAAGCTCATCACTGATGATTTTGTACAAGAAGGATACCTGGAGTATAGGCAAGTATCTGGCAGCCATCCTCCTTCCTATGAGTTTCTCTGGGGCCCACGAGCCTATGCTGAAACCACTAAGATGAAAATCCTGACATTTCTGACCAACATCAATGGAAGTGACCCCAGATCATATCCAGTGTGGTATGCAGAGGCTTTAAGAGATGAGGAAGAGCGAGCCTAGGCAAGCAAAGCCTGGCACATGATATGACTGCCCTGACCAGCACATATTCTAGTGCTCTAGCAGTTTACAACTCAGATAAGGTCAGGTCAAGTCAGTGATCTAAGCAGTGGACCCTCATTCTAGAGCTGGTGGTTGTATAGTTAAATTATCCCACTTTTACTGTTCTGTTGGGTGACTCAGGGATTTTTCCTCTTGGTACTTTAAAATGTTGCTACGTTTGCTAGAAAGCTCGTTAGGCTGAAAATTTAAACTTCCAGGTTGTATTAGTCATGCACTTACTGCTGTTTATCCATGTTTAAAAAGTGTTGTTATTTTGTAAAACAAGTTGGGATACTTTCCATCTAATCTGTAATCTGTCACAAAACACCATAGTAGTGCAATTGGTATTTCTTAGGCTATGGAAAATAACTTACAGAATAGAATAAAACTGTTATTTTTATCACCTTTTGGTTGTTAGTCTCTTATTCTGGTTAACTAATTAAATTCTAACTTAAAATACAGTCAACGGGCTCCAATGCTCCAAACTTTCATTAAGCATATGGCCTTTGTAAGGCCTGCCATTAGCAGCACGTCATAGGAGAACCAGATCCATGCTTTCATGTAGATGGGATGAGTTCAGGATCCACAGCCCTGTGAAGAAGACAGTGAGAAGTACTTTCAGACCACAAACGTTAGTAAAGGAGAAGGGTTGCAGAGGGGTCTCCTGGGGTGAGCAGCACACTTTTGATGCTGTAAACCAAGGCAGCTTGGGAGTCTGGGGAGTTGATGGAATGAAACTGCAAAGTAGCTAAGGACAGGCCCTTGGGAGATGCTGCAGTTCAGGCTAAGAGAAGGAAAAAGAAGTAGACACAGCTCCATCTAACCCAGAAGCGATCTCCAAGTGATAGCCACTTGCAAATGGCAATTTAGTTCTCTCCATAGGAATCTCACTGGGGAAACAAACTACTCCTTTTTGCTTTTTATAAGCAAAACTGACTGCTGTTTCCCTACCCCCTCCTCTCCTCCCAGTCCCTCTCCCCACCTCCTCCCCCATCTACTCCTCTATATCTATTTCAGAAAAGGGCAAACCTTCCTTGGATATCAACAAAACATGGTATATGTGGTAGTTTGAAAGAAAATGGCCACCCACAAGAGTGGCACCATTGTGGACTAGGCGCAGTCTTGCTGGAAGAAGTGTGTCACTATAGAGGCAGGCTTTGAGGTCTCATATATGCTCAAGATACTGGCCAGTGTCTCTTACCGTTTCCTGTTGCCTCCAAGATATAGGACTCTCAGCTACTTCTCCATCACCATGTCTACCTGCATACACCACTGTGTCCCACCATGATGATAATGGGCTCAATTTCTGAAACTATAAGCTGCCACTACAATTATATGTCTTCCTTTATAAGAGTTTCTGTGCTCTGTGATCTTGATGTCTCTTCACAGCAATAGAAACCCCAACTAATACAGTATATCAATTTGTAGTGAGACTAAGCACCTTGCCTTGCATTAATACCAGGCACTGCACAGACATCCACAGATATACACTGAACTGAACTCATGAACTTAGTTGAAGAGAGGGAGGAATGAAGATTGAAGGGGTTGGTACCAGGCTGGTCTGAACAAGGGGGAGCACATCAACCCCAGATGCTGTCTGGGAGGCCAGGACGGGACTGATCCAGACCCCTGAACATGAATGTCAATGATGAAGCCTCTGCACTCCAGGGAGTCTCTGGTGGTGGATTAGTATTTTTCCCTAGTGTAAGAAGGGACTTTGAGAGCCCATCCCACGTGAAGGGAGGCACTCTTG